TCAATGTTTCTTTGATGCCTTTCCAGTTGTCATTTAAAACTGTGGTAACTTGTAATGATTTAATTTTGAACAGACCACTATTTCATCATTTCTGTCTATCTTATTCTCGAGGTTCAAGTACATCTGAACACAATTATGTATTTATACAAAAACAGTTGAGATTTAATGTAAAAGATACCTAAACACGTCATAACACATAAGTCTTATATAGTTATACCTAAATCTGTATAAACTATTTCAATATGCGGAAAAATATATAATAAAATTCATTAAGAGTACAAAAACAAGAATTGCTTACAAAAAGTGATTGGTAAATTCTCAGGATATGAATATGGTCATAAATTAAGTTATCTCATATATTCTTAATAAAAGTGAAATGGGAAATAGTTCCTAGCACATTTACCTTGCTTTAAAGTTAAAACTTGTTTTTGATTGAGATCATAAATCGATGAATGTTAGACCACTATTGAAAAGTTGGAAGCACTGGACGGCTGTTTTGTCCCGGTATGGGATTCTTCAGCAGCGCTCATCTACTATCCTACTTCGGAACTCGGACCCGGGACCTTCAGTCTCACGTTCGGGACCATAGGTGCACATTACTGAAAAGTTCCATACGAGAGCGAAACAGCCGTCCAGTGCTTCCAAGTTTTCAATGGTGTTCTAGCATTCATCGATTCATGATCTCAATAAAAAACTTAACAATCTCCACAACCCTACACTGATCAAACTTGTTTGTCTACAAGCTCTGTGATTCGTGTCTTATTTTAAACTCCATTAAATCTGCATACCACAGAAAATGGTTTCCTCGAATTGACATTTCATCCATCTGAATCTATTTTACAGATACTAATGATCTTTTGTGAAAAATGTCATGAAACAAGTCCAATTTATCTTGTACAGCAATTTATTATTAGATTAACTAATAGCATCTAATAATTTTAAAATGTCTATCAATCATTTTGTGTCATTTTTCTCCTTAATATCTACAATGAAAACTGATTTATCTAGAGTTTTTACATTTGGTCCCATGTAAGATTTTTTTAGATACAACGCTGAAGAGTGTAGAGTACGGACAAAACAGCTTGTGATTGCATTTCACTTTCGACGTGTTCTTTAGCTAATGTAAATTCGTAATGACCATGAAATAAATCAAACTAACTTTTTGATAAATGAACAAAACGTTAGTGAGTTGTAACACTGAACAAGAAGTAATTTCAATTTTAATGACTATAGTCTAAGTAATATGTGACTAGTAATTAATGTATATATGTATATATGAATAGGTGAAAAGTTTTTATAACAGCTATGAATAACTTAATTGATGAAAGATTGATCAAAATATTTGTTGTTTTGTACTTTTATAATTGGTGATCATAGTACAATTTTACTTAACAATATTATTGATTTGGTTTTACTTAAATCATACAAATCTGTACGCTTACGCATATCCGAAGAGTCTAATAGTCAATAATTATGCATTATTATGTTATTAATTGTTAATATTTTCTTTAGATTCTACTTTTTATTCACAGTAATAAAAAGGTTTTTTAGTTGTTGAATGCATTTTCAAGCAACTTAATTATACTTGACCACAGGATATCACATTCTAGGCTGAGATTTTTTTCCTAGAGAGAATGGATAATTAATTCTTTAAATAAACCCTTGAGGTATTTATTTATTAACAAGCATAAAAAGATAGATCTGATAGAAATGGTCTGTTAAGTTTAATCGAGATCTTTATTTGATAGTTTGTTTAAACTAATATCAGATCGAATTAAGTCACTTCATACGCTTACACCTGGTGCTTGCTAGGAGTAAATACTAATGGTTAAAGTAGAAAGTCATTGTTATTATTCCATCAAACGGTAATATCACTAGCTTCACGTAAGTGTTGTTTTATTTAGTTGAATTTAGCTCAATGTTAATTACCGATAGACACTGAAATTACTACTTTTGAAAGCTTAGTGTTATGCTACTACAGTGTTTCTAAGGAGACCAGAAATAATACTACAGAATTTATTTTTCACTTCATTTCAACACTAAGACGAAAGACTATAAACAAGCAACACTTTATTTTGATCCCTCCAAGTTTCACAGTCTTATTTTTGTTGGTGAAACTTTAGATCAGGAACAGTTTAAACGTTTGAAATTTTAGTTATTCTGTTTTTGAAACATTCTCTCTTTTGTAAATATCAAAACTTATGAGGGTAATCATCTATATGTACAAAGATAAACTACCACAACTGATAATCACTAGTTAATAAAAATTTTCCTGATAAAATTTGTTGTTTATCGAATCGTGTACATTTTCAGTTGTCTCAGTGAATTGAATGAATCTTACACATTTTGAACTTAACCTATGCACATTTCTATTGGATCAACATAAGTGACATAGTACACTTATCTACACTAAGACAAAAGATCTAACTGAAATTTTTTTAAAGTAATTTCATAATTATGCTAGATAATTCAGTTAAGTAATTTGTCGATAATTTATGTGTCATAGATAACTAAATGTTGAGTTGTTTCCCACTAATATTTCAAAGGTAAATACTTGAGTTATAATTGGTACAAGAGCATTTGTTGGTTATAGAGAAGCACTGTAATTAAATTTGTGAATCTTTTCTTAACTTGAAACACATTTATGTGATGAGGATAGACTGTACTGTTATTCTTTAAACTTTAAGAAATGGACTTTATTGGCTCTTCTATTGTCGTTAACCTACAAATGTTTTATATATTTTGCTTACATCTTGTTACCCTTTTTTAACTGGACTATTCAATTGTAGAATACTTGGAAGGATGGGGATAATGAAACTTTGATAATGTTGTTTTAGCGCTCGATATATTTGTTACGGTCCAGTGGCAAGATGATGGGAATTATATAGGACGTAGGATATTAGGGATTTAGGATTTTGAATACGTCTCTCTTTCAAGTCTATGTGAGGACGAGGGATACTGTAGTGGCTGGTACTATGTCAATCCCACATAAACAACTCTAGCTTCTCGACAGACCAATTTATTCATACTTCTCAAGACACATCTTGACCTCGTCACTTATTAGTTCTGTCTATTTTTATCTGAGTGTGTGTTAATTGTTTACTCTATTTATTGTGTGTCTGTAACTTATTTTTGTCTGAGTATAAATGTTGAGTCACGCTTTTTCAAATTGGGTTGATTCACTCGCCTTCTACACTGCGAGTCATTTCGTTTCGTTTAGCTTTCTCCTGTTCGCTTCCTTCGCTTTGTTCCTCTGATTGTCTGTTCAGATCAATGAGTGTACGAAGTATATGTATTCAGAATTCATTCTCGTATTTGACTTATTTAATTCCGTTATTCACTAACGCGATTGAAATCGATGATCAAATACTAGGATTGGTGACATGTATATTTCGATAACAATCAGCATACAATGTGATTGGAATCGAATACGAGGCCACAAAAATACTACTTGGTCACCTTAACTAAAGTAGGTCAGAAAGAAGATTGGGAATTATCATCATGTACTGACTGAAAGCTGAGTGCTTCAACATGTAATCCACATTATGTCATAAACTGATGGTTATTTTGCAGTTGCAATTGAACCAAATGGGTAGTAAATTGTTATCTATCGTATTAACGAATTGAGTATATATATAGTAATAAACCATTGAAATCTTGGTGATCAGGTTGAAAAGTTATTTAATAATAAATGAGTTTCAAAGAAGTGTTTTGCGTAAAGTTATTGGATTTTCATAGAAGGGAACTAAGATGTTTTCTACAGAAAAAGGAACCCGAATTATTTAAGCAGTACAAAAATGTAACGACGTTGTTATCATGAAGTAATTCACTTTCCATTTTTGTATGTTCATAGTACTTGCTGTTTGACCGCAAAACCAAGTGTTATTGTAAATACATACTTAAGAAGATTATTTTCTTTAAATAAATAGCATATTTAAAATCATTGAAAGATTTTCTTTGCCTTGTCAAACTTTGTTAGAAATAAGTAAAGACAGATTATAATTATTTTAATTTTTTGTTGTTGAGATTTATTGGAATAATCGATTCAACCATGAAAATACATGTGGCCAAAAAATATTCGGAAACTCACTATCCACCAGTAACTTTCATTTCAGTTTAATTTCACTGAAATAAAACGAAAGGAACTATTGATTATTATGCAGTTTCAGTAGACATGCAATGTCGGGGTGCAAAAGATGGGTGCGAAACTGTTCTTCAATGCTCCCTGATTTTCAATTATCTTCTAGTTGATATCGATCTATGATTAACAATTTATTTGATGATGGTTGTTTGTTTGACTGATTAACTTATATCTTCATCATTTAGCTGTTGAGAATTGTTACAGCAAATTTTGTGCATTATTATTTGAACATTGTTCTGGTTAAAAGTAGCAATATTGATTAGACAGAGAAGCTCGGAAATCGTTCTCATAAAATGATAGAAGCCAACTGTTTTTGTATAGGGATTTGTGGTGATTATATAATTTTCACAATTCAAATCACAAGCTGATCTTTGTAAGGCCATCATTTAGAACCTAAAAGCAGTGGGTGGATGTTTCGTCTTAGTATAGAACTACTAAATAATACCTGTCCACAAACCCACACGTGAGATTCAAACCCCAAACCTTCTATTTTGAGTACGGACACTTATCCCTAAACCATTAAGCTACGGTCCAGGTGTATACAAGTCTAAATCCAATCAATACACGATATTGTATAACCCTTTATCTGTTGCCCGGCCTAGATAACTATCTTACATCCGACAAGGAATAGAAATTGTTGTTGCATTTGATGAATCAATGAATTTAAGTATTGTTTTCATTTGGGAAGAGGTTAATTTTTAACCCTTCACAAAGCAAAATATCTTTAAGAATGTTTACTTTTAAAGGAAATTAATCAATCTTATTTTTCAATCAATCAAATCTCATTACTTTTTTTCCAAGAATTACCATAAACTTTTAGAATTTGTACAGTATCCATTTTTTAAATTCTTTTTTCAAGGATCAACGCCAAAATGGTTTATGTATTGGATTTAATTATAAAGGTATTTCTATATTCAAGGATGGTTGCAGTATCAATGTGTTTGAATGGTAAGTATACTATCTTCTAATTAAATTCACATAATTATAGATACTTTAATTAATTAACTTGTCACAAGCATACAATCAATTACATATTCAGTATCAATTACTTTTTTTATACCTTAGATTTAGCAGACTTAAAATTGTGTCTAAAACCTACCTTTCAAATAACCATCTCACAGTCTAATTTGTTTTACTAAATATTTTTAGACTTGAAAGCAAATTACAACTATAGTCGGTTATCATTTAAATGGAATAATCATTGACTAATCAGAATAACAATAGATGTGAACATTAAGAAGATATATTTTGAGTATCAAAAATGATTTTTATCAATATTTGGTATTGTTTTACTTGATGATTAGAACTGCAATTGATCAGTTTCTTATTGGCATATGTGCGTACTATACGTATTGCCTCGATATTATCTTAACTCACAAGCATTATAAGCTGACGAGTCCCAAATAGAACGAAACGCACGTCCTGGATTTCACTTCTAGTCAATATCCATCATTGATTCTTAACATAGTTGATAACTTCACATTTTGCTTGTCTTGATGCAAAATTCTAAAGTTGCTAAAAAATATTATTGAACTTCATTTGTTGTATTATGTTTATGTAGCATTCGTGTAATTAATATGACTCAGCAGTAAAAATGAAATTGAACCTAAAAGTAAATAATGAAATAGCATTAAACAGTATATTACAATGCATTCAGGACAATTTTTGTAGATTAAAGGATTTACTGATGGCTACATCCGGGTGGTCTAAAAGATGTGGCTTTTTCAAACTAAATATGTTCATGTTTACTGTTATCTAGGTTTCATGATTTTAACTAATTTATTCTAAATTATAATGTTATCGATAGGAAAGTTGTACGTTTGGAAATGTGTTTATTTGCAAAATATGTCAACATGAACTGTACATTGTGTAATAACATGTAGATTGTATTAGTACAGTCTTTCACTGTCTTATGGTTAATTACACTTGTTATTCAAATTGTAATCTATGATCAATGTGGCTGTTTTATGATCATATTTTACTGATATTATTGAACAGTATATGTCACTTCATGTTACAACTTATCAAAACAAAGAAATATATGGAAATAGTATGACTTGAACATAAATAATGAGATGAACAGGCAAATGATACATAAATAGAATAAGGATATCATGGCCTAGTTTATAAAATATGAATGTGAATTTACCATGGTCTAAAATTATTTATTATCTGTTTCTTATAGAATCTATTCAAGAAGTCTATAACTTCTTGTACAAGTTCTCTGAATATTTAGGGACTTTTTTGATCAGATTTATATTTTCAGGTGTCAGTTTTTAGTTTTTTCCAAGCTTAACATTTAAACCACTAGGAAACATATGTTTTTTAAATCTAAATTTAAGCATGTTTACTAATTTCTCATTTTATGAAGATTCACAATCTTTGTGTATAGCTTATTTCTGAATGAAGGATTAGCTCATCATCTCAAAAATTTTCATTAGGTATCATCTTATATACTGGAAAATGATTTAAAACATCCATATACGATGGTCAAAATGTATCGTCACCACATCATGTAATCATGTATTAAGTCGCATAAGAAAAGAAAGGAAATAATGGGTTATTTAGAGAAGTTCAGTTTGTTGTTGTGCCAGTTGTCATATCCAAAAAACCCAAAACTAATTTGATCCTTGATACTGGGGCACTATGAATCGGATGATCTAAGTGGAAATAAGAAATCCATAGACATAGACTTACTTGATCCTCAGAATAAATCAAAATAATATGTGAATATATAAATTTCTATATGAGTTGTTTACAGTCAGACTAGTATTCAGATTAGTATAAGTTGAATTGAACTGTACTTCGAATTGATTAATCAATAAATTACTATACGAAGATATATTTGCGAAATCATACAATTAAGCATCAATAACTAATCTGAATACATTGTATAAAAGATTTTGAAAAAAATTAATTTCATATGTTCCTCGCACTCCAGTCAATTCAATACCTGCTCACCACATAACCACTGTTTGAATCATTTAACAGTGGTGGTCGATAAATGAATCCAATCAACATAACAATAGTAAAGGGATGTGTAGCTCTATTACATAAGAATAAAACACATAAATGATGAATGCAATTTATTACTAAGTATTAGTATGAAAGTAATGATATTATAAATTAAACAGACGACAATGAAAAATTGTGGTCAACGTATTGATTTATAAATAATAAAAAAATAAGAAGTATGTATTAGAGAACTTGGCTTAAACATTTTTTGTTACACAAAATCAATGAAAATGTGTTAAAAGTTATGTAATTTATTGTTTACGTATTTACCATTAATTGCCGGATGTGTGGTCTAGTTGGTTAAGCGCCTGGCGCGAAGCTGACGGGCCCTGGGTTCGAATCCTGCCAGGCGGGGTCGTGGATGCGCATTGCTGAGGAGTCCTACAATAGGATGGGACGGCCGTCCAGTGCTTCCAAGTTTTCCATGGTGGTCTAACTTCAATTGACTCATGATCTCAACTGTTGAGATTTTATTTTAAGCCTGACTAAATCATTTTATGACCTTATTTACTGCTATAAACTTATGTTTTTATCAGTTAAAAAGGAAAAGTTTATTAAAGTTAGGGCTTTTTGTAGGTTGTTTATAAGAAGTTAGTTTATAGTGGAGACTAATAAAAGTAGAAGAAATATCGTTAACTATAAACAGTGGTCACCTTGTTTATAAATATGACTCAAACTATAAATCTTCAAGTCTGGCATTTAGTAAGATAATTTTGGAATATAATGAATTGAATTTCTAAATTCATTGAATTTTTTGATACAAATTAAATTAGTCAAGTAAAAATGAGTAACTAGGCTAATGTATCCATTGGTCATTAGTTTCACTATGTAACAACTGAAAATGAGAAATTCCTACAAGAAAAATAGCTTGAATTGACAACTTACTTACTTACACCTGTTACTCCTCGTGAAGGAGCATAGGTCGCTCACCAGCATTCTCCATCCAACCCTGTCCTGGGCAATCCTTTCCAGCTCCGTCCAGTTGTAATTCATCGTTTTCATATCTGCTTCTATTATCCGACACAATGTGTTCTTTGGCCTTCCTCTTTTTCGCTTCCCTTCAGGATTCCAAGTTAGCGCTTGTCTCGTGATGCAGTTTGACGATTTGCGTAATGTATGTCCTATCCATTTCCATCGTCTTTTCCTAATTTCTTCTTCAGCTGGAAGTTGGTTTGTTCTCTCCCACAGAAGGCTATTGCTGATGGTATCCGGCCAATGGATGTTGAGTATCTTGCGTAGACAGCTATTTATAAATACTTGTACTTTCTTGATTGTGGTTGTTGTAGTTCTCCAAGTTTCAGCTCCATACAGTAGAATTGCCTTGACGTTCGTATTGAAGATTCTCACTTTGATATTGGTTGAAAGTTGTTTTGAGTTCCATATGTTCTTTAATTGTAGGAATGCTGTCCTTGCTTTGCCAATCCTTGCCTTTACGTCTGCATCTGAACCTCCTTGTTCATCGATGATGCTTCCTAGGTATGTGAAGGATTCTACATCTTCCAGAGTTTCGCCATCAAGAGTGATTGGATTGTTGTTTTCCGCTTTGAATTTGAGGACTTTGGTTTTCCCTTTGTGTATGATGAGGCCTACTGATGCAGAGACTGCTACTACACTGTCTGTCTTCATCTGCATCTGTTCGTGTGTACGTGATAGGAGTGCTAGGTCATCTGCGAAGTCCAAATCGTCTAATTGATTTCGAGCTGTCCATTGAATTCCGTGTTTTCCTTCAGATGTCGAGGTCTTCATAATCCAGTCGACCACCAGAAGAAAGAGAAAGGGAGAGAGTAAAGAGCCTTGTCTGACTCCGGTCCTTACTTGGAATGCATCTGTCAGCTGTCCTCCATGAACGACTTTGCACTGTAGTCCGTCGTATGAGTTCCGGATAATGTTGACAATCTTCTCAGGAACTCCGTAGTGTCGAAGAAGTTTCCATAATGTCCTCCTATCTACACTGTCGAATGCTTTTTCATAATCAATGAAGTTGATGTATAGTGATGAGTTCCACTCAACTGATTTTTCGACGATGATCCGTAGTGTTGCAATTTGGTCTGTGCATGATCGATCCTTACGGAATCCAGCTTGTTGATCTCAAAGTTGGGTGTCTACTGCATCTTTCATCCGGTTCAGCAACACTCTGTTGAAGACCTTCCCTGGTATTGACAGCAGTGTAATGCCTCTATAGTTTTCACATTTGCTCAGATCTCCTTTCTTTGGAATCTTGATGAGGTGCCCTTCTTTCCAGTCCATCGGCACTTGTTCCTCCTCCCAAATCTTTTTGAATAGAAGGTAAAGCATGTTTGTAGTTGCTTCGATGTCTGACTTCAGTGCTTCAGCTGGTATGTTGTCGGGTCCTGCTGCTTTCCCACTCTTGATTTGCCTGATGGCCATTCTGATTTCTTCCTTCGTTGGTGGGTTGACGTCTATAGGAAGATCTATGTGTGCGGCTTCGCTGTCCGGTGGATTCATTGGAGCCGGCCTATTCAGGAGTTCCTCGAAGTATTCTACCCATCTGTTCCGCTGTTGTTGAATTTCGGTGATTGGCTTGCCTTCTTTGTCTTTGACCGGTCTCTCTGGTTTACTGTATTTCCCTGATAGTTTCTTCGTTGTATCGTGAAGCTGTTTCATATTTCCTTCTCTAGCAGCTTTTTCTGCCGTCGTTGCTAGTTCTTCCACGTATTTCTTCTTGTCGGCTCTAATGCTCCTCTTCACTTGCTTGTTTGCTTCTATGTATTCAGCTTGTGCTTGGACTTTCTCTGTTCGTGTTCGGCTGTTGTTAATTGCTGTCTTCTTGTTCTTCCTTTCTTTGATCTTGTCCAGTGTTTCTGTAGAGATCCATTCCTTATGATGGTGTTTCTTTAGACCCAGAACCTCTTGACACGTTGAAGTTAATGCTTCCTTGATGCCTTTCCAGTTGTCCTCCATAGTAGTTTCTTCTTCTTTCAGTAGATCTCGTAAGGCTTGGAACCTGTTGTTGAGAGCTATCTTGAATTCATTGAGTTTGTCAGTATCTCGAAGGAAGGCTGTATTGAACCTTTGTAGTGCTGTTTGTCCAGTTGTTCAGTTCTTTTTTAGCTTCAGTTTTAAATTGGCCACAACTAGGTGGTGATCTGAAGCTACGTCAGCACCTCTCCTGGTTCTCACATCTTCCATTGTCCTTCGGAATTTTTTGTTGATGCAAATATGGTCTATCTGGTTCTCTGTAGTGTGGTCCGGTGAGATCCATGTAGCCTTGTGTATACGTTTGTGTGGAAATATTGTGCCTCCTATGACTAATTTGTTGAATGCACACAAATTCGCAAATCTTTCTCCATTTTCGTTCCTCTCTCCCAGTCCATGTCGTCCCATAATATCTTCATATCCAGTGTTGTCTATTCCGACTTTGGCATTTAGATCTCCCATCAGAATAGTTAGGTCCTTTCTTGGGCATTTTTCAATGACTGACTGCAGCCGCTCGTAGAACTGATCTTTAATGTCGTCGTTGCTATCATTTGTGGGTGCATAACATTGGATAATATTCATTAAGATCCCCTCCTTCTTTGTTTTGAATGATGCTTTGATGATTCTGGACCCGTGGGATTCCCATCCTACAAGTGCATTTCGTGCTACTTTGGACAGCATTAGAGCAACTCTCTGAGTGTGTGGAGCATTTTCCTCTTCGTGACCGGAGTATAGCAGCATCTCTCCCGTAGCTAGCCTTTTCTGTCCAGCTTGTGTCCAGTGGGTTTCGCTGATTCCCAGTACTGCCAAGTTGTATCTCCTCAATACCGTTGCTATTTGGCTGGTCTTCCCGGTTTCCCACATTGTTCGAACGTTCCATGTACCTATAAAAATTTTTGCTCTGGTTGTTAGAAGGGGCTTCGGCCTCGTGGCTTCCGAAGGAACTCGGCTTTCACCATGAAGCGTCATAATTCTTCTAAATGAAGACCTTCTAACTCTCAGGGCAGAGTTAAAATGGTTTGAATTATTTTTTCTGGTAAGCGTTTTTTTAGCGAGTTAGTTTTCTACGGGATGGGGACGCTAACCCCATGCCCAACCCTCCTCCTTTACCCGGGCTTGGGACCGGCAGTAACTCTAGGAGAGCTACAGGCGGAGTTTTGAATTGACAAAAAGCAAACGATTGTTCAATGTTTATCCCATTATTAGTGGTAAACTAATCTATATGATCTTTCTATTTCTTAAGCAAAACAGAAGTTAGTGTATTATTCATTAATTAGTTTGTAATCGTTTAAACAACATATTACACACATCTATTCGATGAAATTCTTAGTGCATTGAATTTCTACAATACGTTAATTTCAATTAGTTTGTGCTAATTAATAAAATTCAACAGTTGAGATCATGAGTCAATCGAAGCTAGACCACCAAGGAAAACTTGGAAGCACTGGACGGCCGTTTAGTCTTATTGTGCGTCTCCTCAGCAGTGCGCACTCACGAACCCGCCTCTCCAGATTTGAACCCAGTACCCACCAGTCACGCGCGCGAGCGCTTAACCACTAAACCATCGAGCTGGCCTCCAACGGTGTTAATGTCTGACTTCATTTAATTCATGGTATTGGGCGACCATCGTCCATTGTCTTCGGTGGGTAACTGTCTTTTGGATTGTGGATGTGCACTGCTGGGTGGTCCCGTGATATGAAGAAACGACCGTCTAGTACTTCCAGGTTTTCTAACATTGATTCATTCTTGATATCAATCTAAACTCAGCAATCTTCACAACCCTATACTGATGATATGAACTCATAAACGTTTTAAATAGCTATCGCTTGTTTTCAGTATTGAGGTCTAATTTCAGTTTTTTTCTATTATCGCTATACAGGGCATTTATCAAAAACATTTATCCAGAAAAAAAGAATTTGGTTTTAGTCGTTAGTGGAAAACCGGTAAATTCTTTTGTTGATTCATCATTTATATTGAGTTAACTTATGTTTGAAAACAAAGTTTAATTTACATTGTACTATTGAAAGCATCTAAATAATATAATGTGCTTTCATTTTACCTGTATTTATTCTGTTTAGCGTCAAGGTTTTCACTAAGTTTTCATGTATTCTGCATTGTCATGATCTCTTCGTGGCATTTCCTGATAAAGAAAAATAAATCATATTTATTGTTGTTTCATTAGTTCAGTAATAAACTGATTTCATCATAAAACTAATATCCTTACGATTTGACTAGTAAATCTGGAAGATAATCGATTCTTACGTACTTCATTCCTTTGCTTGTACTAACTTACTCTCGGAAGGGAATAAGTGTTGTTCTCACAATGATGTAAAATATAGCGATTCGTTTTAGTGACATCAATGAAGCATAGTTTTATTAGACAAAGAGGAAAATCTCGGATTTATGATCTGGGTTGTGTCGCAGGATGTCAACTTTCTGATGGGGACCACAGTAAATGTCGTATTTCGTGGTAATAGACGCTGAGTTGTACGACCCAAAATGAATTACAATAGCTTCATTACATCAATTCTTTATGTTCCTTTAAATCTCTGGTTGATTTTTATTCATAATTTTGACCATGAGTGACTGATTTATCATTAGTGAAAATATCTTCCCAAAACAGTAGTAAACCTAGCTTTCCTTATAAATTAGCTTTCATATTTCTTTTCAGTCAGAGGATGACAGAGATCTTGTTCTCGGGTTCAAATGTAAATCGCCTTCAGAAGCCAAAACTTTATGCTTACGAGCACTCAACTGTAAAACATTCAAAGAGTAGGTCATTTTTTCACTCAATAGTAACTGAAAATTACATGTTTTAACTTTTTGTATTGTTGCATATTTATTACATATTTTATAATGTTTTAAAGTTTTTTCTTTTGATTTCATCAGTCAGGTATTATCTTCAGAGGTCTCTGGTTCAACATATTTTACTACTCTATATCGAGTATACGTCCATTAATTTGTATTTAATATGGTACAGCCTCACATACCGGTTCATACTAAGTCTTAAGTCATTAGTACACCCTAGGAGGCACATTTAATGAAAACGTTAGTCATTCAACTTAATGAATAAAAATGTAGTTAATAAACAACACAGCTTTTTAGAGTATAAATATCAGTAGTTAACAAAAGTGAATTTGAGACTATTTTTCAAAGTTAGACTACCGGATAAAATTTATAAACACTGATACACCAAAAACCAGTGTTCTTGTTGACAGTAGTTTGAACCAGGACATGGAATTCAAGGAAAAAAGTTTATCGTTACAATTTCACTAGAGCAACCGACGAATAAATTCGCACTTCTCAAACTACTTGCTATTTGTGAGTAGCATGTAACAAACGTCATAAGAAACAGTGTGCATGAACGATAATAAAGGCAAAAATTATTTAACTGAACTGAAGGTCTTAATATACACGCTTCTCAGATGTAAAAATTGGTAGCTATTATTCTGTTCGTCACTGTTATGAGTCTGCATAGCTAGTTATTTCCTTCACATTAAGGTATGTTTAATCGTGACATTTTTGACTATTAGTTAGCTATTCAAAAGACTGAATCCTGTTCACTGATGGGAATCATCTCGAAAATACCGACTATTGATAGCGTTTTTCGTAATGGCACTGAAGATAAGCTTTCCATGTTCTATTTTTACCTGATCACACTAAAACGCCTTTATTATAAGCACTAAACTAGTAAAAAATATAGAATGAAACAAAAATATGATAGTCTGATGACTGATATAGAAATTTTGGTGAAGTTATGTTCTCTGAGGTGGATAGTTTGGTCACGGAGCTTTCATTGTTCTTCTGAACAACATCATCAACACATACTTCGGGTAGAAGTAAAGTATTTGAGTTTCTCTGCATATGACTAACAGATTTTCCTGTTGACCTTGATCTTGGTTGGTTATTGTTGACCTTTATCCTATCATTTTCTACCTCTTTATTTTGATTATATCTCCCTTTGACTTGATTCTTGCACCTATATTTGTCCACAATCTTTCTGATTGGTTGATATCTTGACGTGCTTGTTGATTGCTGATTGACCTGAAAACCAAGTTCTAGAAACTCCCTGGTGTTCTTAATATTCTTTCTATTCTGGATGTCAACATTTTCCCAGTTGATTATGCATTCATAGCTGTCCATGCGCATTGATATAAGTGAACATGTGTCATGGCGTTTGATCGCTAATTGATGTTCGTGCAGGCAAGGATGAAGAGGGCATCCACTTTGTGTTATGTAGTGTTTTTTGCAACTGGAAAAGTTTGTTTTGCAGATGATGTTTTGTTTTGCTTCTTTGTCACTTCGTCCTTTGGTTTGCATAGGACTGATTGAAGTGATTTTACTTGTTTATGTGCTACACCTATTCCGAATAGCTTCAAGAATTTCATGATTTTTGATATATCTTTTATATGTGGTAGGATAATCAGTTTACTGGTCCCCATACTTAATTTTGTTTCAGCTGATGAGTTGGGTTAATATTTTTTGATGAATTTGTTTGGGTATCCATTCTTTTGAAAGATGGTTATTAAATATTTTCCTTCATTTTTCTGCTCTGCAAGCGTGCTACAATGTACCTTCCTCCTCTTGAATAAAGTTTTTAGGCAGTTGATTTTTTGAGTTATTGGGTTGTTGCTACTATCGTTGGGAATCTGATACACTGCTTTTGCAATAAGTTCTGTCATTGCTGATCACATTGATGTCCTTTTCGTTTGTTCGTAAATTTTATTGTTAAGTTGAAGATATGTTGTTATTCATAAATCGATGAGTTGTAGCAGACTTTGAAGCTCCGTGTACTCTGGGAGATTTCTGTGGTTAGTGAGGTACATGGTTAGAGTTCCTTTGCTAAGCTTGGTTTGATTAAAGTGAATAAAGCAGTTATATCCAAGGATATCATCAGTTCGTCGTTGTTGACTTGATTCTACTTAACTTTATCCAAGAATTGTGTGGGAGATTTAATAGAAAGGTCGGATCAATCCATTAAATGGTTCAGTATTCTTGAAACTTCTCTTGATAGATTGTATGTTGAGGTTCCAGAGAGTGATAAAATTGAACGTAATGGGATGTTTGGTCAGTGTAGTTTCGGCCTACTGTAGAATCGAGGGAGCGCTAGTTCATTAGATTTCATTTTTTATTGTTCTGCTTTGACTAGTTTGTTCAAAGTTTTTGAGATTTGTTTGTTTTTCACATAAAAAATAAATTAGCAACATGAGCGAACGCATATTTATTTCAACACCAGACTACAAAGGTTTATTTCTTGTTATTATTAATTGTATGATATACTACACTAACACTGTTGTTTTTCCAAAAAAACCCTTTGGTTGATTTAGTGTTTTACATATATGTATACTAAATATAACTGTATGTTAGAATAAGACTAAAGGAAGTCCTAATTGAAGACAAGATTGTTCATTTATGTGTCTGATTCATATATAGTTTTATTAAGTTGTTGATCAAATGAGTTAGTAAACTTTGTCATCTATTTAGAGTATACAAGTTTAGGCATTCAATAATCTTTTTCAGTACTTTGATATTACTTGACTTTTTAAGTAGATATCAGTTAGTTATTTGAATAATATTTTTGATTGAGTAGTCAGTCCTGGATTCCATTACTAGCCACTATCCATCTTTGCTTATTTAAATATGTTTAATAATTGTTTAGGATATATAATTTTTTCTCATATTTAATCTTATAGAGTACAATTACAGGAGATGTCTCTTATTCCTCGACCTTTTAGAACATCTAACATTTTAGCTTATCGGTGAGTAATAGTTACTTAATTTTTTTAATCAGTAATATAATGGTTTAGTGTCATTATGATTGTACATATTTTTTCTTCATCAATTTAACCATTTGTTTCAAATAACTTCATATGATCATTCATTTACTCATGTAACAGTACAGAATTCATAATGTTAACTTAATTAACTCATTTCAATATATGGATAAATAAACATGATAAATTAACAAAAATCAATTCAGATAATGCATAGAAAATTTCACATTTAAATACCGATTTCAATAGTTAAGATCATGAGTTAATTGAAGCTAGACCACCATGAAAAAACCTGGAAGCACTGGATGGCCGTTTTGTCCTATTGTGCTGAGGAGTCCCACAATAGGATGAAACGGCTGTCCAGTGCTTCCAGGTTTTCCATGGTGGTCTAGCGTCAATTGACTCATGATCTCAACTATTGAAATTACTATAATATCCACAAAAACCCCTTCTGATACATAAACATCGTTTAGGTAAAATTCTATGAGTTAGCGTATTTAATTTATTATTTTCATTTTATTATAATCAGTATACTTTTCAACTTATGATTACTTAATTAACTTAAAGTTCCATTTATTGTAACATTGAAGACATCTGGTCATGGTTAAAATTTACTTTTAATCTTTTAGGTGTATGTGATTATTTATGTTGTTACAAAAGACTTTCTTCGGTTACTTGATATAACTTCAGATCTTACATTCACATTATGATAAATTTACAAAACCATAGCATCTCTTACCAGTTCAGCTTCTCGCTTCTATATCATTATTTCATAAATCTCTTCCCTAGGCAAACTTCTTAGAACTATTTAACTCTATGATAGCTGTCTTGCAGTAGTATACTTAGTCTATAAATTTGTTTCTACGATGCTTATAAACAGCTAAGATGTAAGATATTTTTAATTGCTTAATGAACAGAATAGAGAATGTTAACCCAAACCTTTTAGATTATTTTTCAGATGTTTGCTTACCAATCTAAAAATCATTCCAAGAAAAATGTTCATTTTCTATTAACTACATACATATATTTTCGCTACTCAAATACCCACTGATAGTATGATTTTCTAACAAATTGAAGTTTATCAGCTTGATATAAACTCATTCTTATTAAATTAATTAATTAATTAATTAATTAATTAATTAATTAATTAATTAATTAATTAATTAATTAATTAATGTGGTGTATTCTACTTATGTCGACAGATATAAGTTGTAAGTAATACCCATCAGAATTGGGATTGTCGAGAGCAGAAGGTTGAAAAGATCGAATTGAAGAGAATAGGAATGTAAGCAGAGAGTAATTGTAGTAACAGCAAGAATGAAGGAAAGATTTAGTTTGTATGAGACAATTGATCAAAGATGTGCAAATGATGTATGTAATGTATGATTTGCATATTTTACGAAAACATTCTGTAATTTGTATTAACCAATAAATTGGTTCTCTTCACCTCAGCCTTCGTTTACTACAACAATACTTTCAATAAAATTATGGTTAGAGCATATATTTCCCCATAGATTGCAATTTCCCGTCATTGATTTATTCTAGAGAATTGGTCAGTCGATCTCAGCATAGACGTATAAAACAATGTTAAGTTGATGTAGCTTTTAAAAAAATCGTTATAATATTTAATGGTGAATAAATATGTACATATTAGTATTAGGTTTTAGCCTTAAATAAAATACACTAGAACATGTATTGAATTATAATTAAATTCAACTAGGCAATTTATAATTGATCATAAATGTTGACTTTCATCCTGAAGTGACTTTGTTTCTTTAATTAATCACCTTTTATAACCGTTATCATATAAATCTCAACGGTGTTTGAAATCAGAAAGCAATAAAAGGCGGCAACTACAGTTTATCTGTGGACAGCATGGATGAAAAAGCTACAAACACATTGGACGGGTTTGATGCAGAGAGGCGAATGTGTATATGTGAGCAAATACAGAGATAAATTTATAGTCAAGTCGAATCAAGGCTCAGCTAGGGTTATCAAAGGCTAATAATAGGATTCGAATACATATATACATGGGGAAGAGAATGAATCATCGAGCGATATTTAGGTGATTAACATTTTAGCTAGAGTCTGTCATGTGACCAAGTATACATGTTTATACAGACAACATACTGATTATCTATTAAAACATGCCTTATTTTTGGCCTTTGTAAAATATTATAATTATGGACTTATAACTGTAGAGCCTGATGATGAAGTTATTGAAAACAATTGTTCGCTCAAATATTCTTCGTTAATAAAAAGACTTAACCAAAACTAACCATAATCGAAATTGATTGTAGGAGATTTGCTATAGTCCTTTGTTCTTTGGAAATCCGTATACTTTGTTGATTATCCCCCATACCATTACATCCTACTATTATAATGTTGTTTAGTACAAAAATTTGAATATTGTAGACAATTAAAATTATTTGGAAGTAACTTGGAATGGCGATTAAACTATTTAAGTCGATTGATAAATAATGAAGCTATAATTGAATTGTATGCATTTCAATAATTAAAAATGGACGCGTTAGATAAACAGACTCAAGTAGCTAAGTGAGTAACGCGTTGGCGTTTGAAGTAAAAATACTGTGTTCGGGTCTCTATATGGACATCGATATGGATAGAGATAAATCTAGCTGACTAGTTCCAAATAAGACGAAACAGGTGCACTGAATTTCTTTGCTAGCCACATACAGAAAATACTAAGAACTTGTAACTAAAGTGTATATTGAGGCTATCTTCCTTCAGGAAGAACACATGGCAACAGAGATTGATCAATTGCAGTCCATAAGATCAACAACGGGTAAAAACAACCACATCTATAAAGTTATCAACTTTGATTAATATTTGATTTTTGTTTTCTCTTCATAGACCATCAGAAATTATTAATCAAGATTCTTTAAGTGACTCTTCTGATAGTTCACAGTATGCTTCACTAAAATGGTAAGTGGTGACTGTTTAAGTACTAGTTATTTCATAATGGTTCAACTGAGGAGCAATAATATTTGAACAATAGTCGACTAATTTACATTTTTCAGAATCTCGAGATTATTATTTTCGTTTATGGCGAATAGGTCTAACTGATAATTTATTAGGGAATTTTGATTTGAAATTATTCTGATTACATTAATTCACTACTAGATATTTGAAGAATCGCCACTAAAAATCATATAAATGACGCTTACCATTCTCTAACAAGCTGATATTACATTTAGATTTTTAAAAAATGTTAAACAGATCTTATTTACACATCAATCACATGAGTATACGATCTATTTTCGTTCTTTGAAATATTCAATGACATCAATTTTACGTTGTTTGTAGCGATAAACTTTAGAAGTGTTTCAACAGAAGAAAGTGATGTGAGCAATGCAAATATCCTGAAGCTAGTATTTTATTATTCTTATTAAATGGGTCGATAATTGATAAGTGGCGACACTAAATTAGAAGATCGATTATGTGTCTAACATACATTTTCTTAATTTGAAACCTAAATTATTTTATTTGTTTTTAACCCTGGTTTTACATATAAGCAATGATTTTCAGATGAATGTATCTGATCGCTGAAATCACAAACGTACTGCAGATAAAATGAATAATCAGAAGTGATGTTATTTTATAGTACAACACTGCTGATAGTATACACACAGTCATAGTTATAAGTTTTGTTAGCACAGAGTTATCCCTATTTAACGCGAAACATAAATATATCAAGAAGGTGGGATCACTATAACGTCATTTGTGTTTCAGAGTGATAGATTTTATATCTCTGCCTTGGATGATACATTAAACTATACGTTCTCTAGAGTTCAGTTTGCTGTTACACATTGAAGCTAGACCACCATGAAAAACCTAAAAGCACTGGACGGCCATTTCGTCCCATTTCATTTCGTTGGTTGTTGTCAGCTGCTTACAACCTATGATATTTAAAACCATAATTACATAATGGGTTTAAATTACTTACATTAAAGTGTTTAGTTGGAAGTTATGCTGAAGACACATCAGTATAGTATAGCAAGGGTGTAAATAAATTTGATAGACTGAATATTGTAAATATATACCTTATGTAAAAGAAAGTTCTACAACATTGATTGTGACAACAGTCCAAGCGACTAAAAACAAGTGATTACGTAATGAGTAAACGGTGATAGGAATTAAATGAATAAAGCTCATTTAATAAAATAAGATTACTAATCTGGAAGATCGTTGAAATAAAAACTCGGTGACTTAATGAATGCAAAGAGAGTTAAAGAAAATGTTTAAGATTCAACGAAGGCATATTTATCACCACGGCAAGAAAAGATTAATAACCATCTCCTTTTGAACATATAAGTCAGATTTTTGACGCCTGATAGCAACGGCTTCAGCAAACGTCAAACGACTGGAGTTTGGCTGCCTACTTATCACCTTAAAAAATTGCAAGGGTTCGACTTGATGTCCTGTATCCAAGAGATGTTTAGTGATTGCACTGTTTAGAGTCTTTCTTTCTCTCTCTTCTTCTGAGGTGTTTTGGAACATGCTCAAAAAACTCAAGATATGTCCTCATTTATGTTCGGCCAATGTAGCTGCTTTGGCAGGTACATGTAAATTTATAAATACAGTTGGCGGTAACATGAAAAGGGTGCTTGTCAACCTTTGATTGAGTTATTGAACATGTTGTTTTATACATAATTAAAAGTATGGTTGCGGGGTAAGTTCTGGCTAGTGCATTGTCCAGTCTCTTGTTGATTGTGTTTGCGACGTCATCACCTTTGAAGTTGAGATTTATAGATACTGGTTTTTTATTGAACTTAATAACTTCTGTCTCGTTTTCTTTAGGTTTTTTTATATTTTTCGATAAGTTTTCGTGGGTAGCAGTTGTATCTCAGGCATTCCTTGTATCATAATTGTAGAAATGTTCTCATCGTTGAAGATTATTAGAATATTTATGTTAAATAATATACATAGATTCTAAAAATATAACTTTCGTAGGTTATGTGGAAAGGGATTAATGTATGAGATAGATATTTAAAGTTATACAATAATGATAACAACAACAAAGACTGATTATAAGATTTGGATGTTTGAAGCTCAGATTAAACTTTTTAAAAACTATGAAGATTAATTTTCACTAGTAAATAAAAATATGTTTCATAACTACAAGTTGGAAATAGTGTTCAAAGCAAAGAAAGAGTGGCAACATTAATCTGGTTTAAGTCCTTTGATAGCGATGGATTCAGTAAAACGTAATAAGATTTTCGTTTATCAACATTTTTGAACGATGAGACATTGTGAAATGCAATGCATCTACTCTTTGTGTTCTCCCAAATTCTAATCTGAATTTTTCGTGTCCTTTTTTTCTCTTTCCAAATTTATTTAACTGAATTATACTCCTTGAATAACATCTTCAAACCCTAATGTTTCCGATTACTACTTTTACTCTTACTACATCTACCACTACGGGATTTGAATTGACAATTGCATCTCTGTGCTAATGTGGTATGGCAACTCGAACTGATGTTGTTAATGACTGAATGAATGAATTTATATTATTCCATTAAGTTTGTTCTGATTACTGTACTTGAAATAGTTTATCACTGGTAATCATTTGAAATGTTATTTTTTAAAATCATTTTTCATAATAAATATGTCTGTATATATTTTTCTTCAGTAAATATACTCCAACTGTAAATATTCAAACAGATGTAACAACAGCAACAGCAACAACAACAACAACAACAACAATGGCAACAAAAAAATCACATAAGAATTCAACTAGTTCAGAAGCAAGTGAAAATACAGCATGGCCAATTGATTTTACAGCATTCGTTGGAAAAGAATGTATTGCTAATAATGATGTTAATCAAGACAATACTAATCAAAATAATGACGATCAAACACATAGAATAAATATATCATATTTAGATCCCCCATCAAAACCGGTGAATAGAGTAAGTCCACGAACTAGTTTTGGCGGAAGTATGGACTTACCTATACCAAGTGAAAAAAAACTACAAGTTTCTGAGTTATCATGGAAATCTAAACCGGTTTATCGGTTAGTTAATTCATCTTCTATCAATGTGAACAAGTAAGTTTTTATTAAGCTTATATTTTGTTTTCATAATATTACACGTGATAGTAACAAACCGTGTTAAGTAGAGGGTAGTTACCTACAGAAGATGATGGGAGGTGATCATACAATATTGTGGACTGATCGAGATCAAAACCGCTCAATGCCGGCTCAGTGATCTGGACGTTAAGCGTGTGAGCGCATGACTGAAAATTCAGCGTGCAGGATCGTAAACGCACACTGCTAAGGGACCCCATATTAGAACAAAATGACTATTTAGTGCTTCCAGGGTTTCGCTTGTGATCTAACTTAGAACTTTTCATGATTTTAGTGAAAATGAACAATATCCACAACCCCATATTTACAACAAATCAGTTTGGAATTATGCACCTTACGTTTACTTGTTTGATAATATGTTCGCAAACTTAGATTGATGAGCATAACTCAGTAGTTTGAAACTTAACGCATCTTCCTAAGAATTAAGGATTTTGGACTTGATTATTAGTCAGTATATTAATTCTTATCAGAAAGGAGTTTTTGTGGATATTATAGTAATTTAATAGTTGAGTTCATGAGTCAACTAAAGCTAGGCTCAGTGGTCAAGATGTTAAGCATTCGCACGTAAGACGAAAGGTCCTAGATTCGAATCCTGTGTGCGGGATCTCAACTAAAATATTAGCTCTAACATTTAATCTATGTATCATTAAAAATATTAAACAATTAGAGGATGTACATCAACTGAACTGTATAAAGTACAAGTTTTCAAAGTAACCTCAAATTGTGATGAATCATTGAATATGTTTATATTTAGGTTGTTGATTAAAAGTTACAAAGCACGATTTTGTGATTTTATCTATTAATTGACATCTTTTTGAGAATTCTCGAAAGTCATAGAACACCGAAGAGTTATTTCTTCCTGTTATTGAAATCCTAATTAGAAAATACAATACTTAGACTATCTTTAATTATACTACAAGTCATCACAGTAAAATACAAGATGAGGTGAAAAGTATCTAAATTCTATTGCAATATTCAAAAACGTAATACCTCTCAACGAAAATCAATATGTTCTACAGGTAAATCATAGTTTATCAGGAAGGGTTTTGTGGAGATTTTAATAATTTCAATAGATGAAATCATGAGTCAATTGAAGTTAGACCATCATGGAAAACCTGGAAGCACTGGAGGACCGTTTTGTTTTAGTATCATCTGCTCACTTGTGATTGACTTCAAGAGGCATTTCCTGGAGTTTTAGTGGGAAGCCGTGACCAGTGGAGTTCAACCAGGTCTGTTGTGAGATATAAGCTCACTGAAGACAATGGTTTACGATGGCGCAGTTTAGTGGATTGGTTGAAGTTAGATATTAACAGTGTTGGATGCTGACTCAGTGGTCTAGTGGTTAGGCGCACGCGCGCTAGACTGATAGGTCTTGAGTTCAAATATCGCGGGGAGTAAGGTCGTGGATGCGCACTGCTGAGTGAATCCCATACTACGTCGGAACGGCCGTCAAGTGCTTCCAGGCTCCATATGATGGTCTAGGTTCAATCGACTCATGATTTCAACTATTGAAATTTATAGTTTACTCAACATCGATATTGGTGTTATGATCTTCATGATAAGAGCTAAAAGACATATACCTTTATAAATTATGAAGAGTCGGAAAATTATCTGGTGAATCTTCGTATTTCCCAACAGATTATATTTCATCACTTATAAGATGATATTCGTTTATATAATCTACTGTTTTAAATATTCATGGTTAATGAAATGAAGAGGGAATAAAAATTCCTTTCATATTGAGTAGTTTCCTAAAACTCATTAAAAACATGGAACAATTTCAGAAATGTTTAGTTGCTATCCGAATAATAGATAGACTATGAGTATTTAATAATAAAACTACTGTTCTATATTAAAAAGAGCAAGAACAAAAATTCTAGCAGAATAGCATGAATTCATTTTATTTCACTAGTTCTCTTTCACTGCTTACAATCTGTGAGAACCGACGAAATAAAATGAATTGTTATTAGTAATGGCTTTAATCAATATTATATTTTGGCACAATATAGAATTCTCAGCACAAGGTATTTCAACAACTTTCTTTTACAAAAAAAAACAAACATAAAAAAAAGAATGGAAAAATATGAAAAAAAAGAAACTGTACAACTTTCCAAATTAGAAACTTGTTTAAGAATACATGTTACTGACTAGATTGACTCCAGATAAGGTATTTTAGAACTTTTATACTTTTGCTTGTGTGCATGGATTTTAATGTAATTACGTCTCGTTCTACCAGAAGATATACAGGGAGAAAGATAAGAGTGAAGGGGATGGTTAGTATCTGATAAGATAACACCTACAAGGAGTTTGCATGACTTTAAATGTCTATCCACGACCATATTAATTATGACCTTGAAAGATTCACCATACACCTCGCTAACTACCTTCAGCACTCTCTGCAGTACAGCAAAGTCTTTTCTCAAAAGCCCGGGAAAGAATAATGGAGAAAAGAAAAAAGAATAATAGGTAATATGCAAGAACTGGCAAATCGTAAGAGTAAATAACGAGTAATCCCAAAAGCATACAGCCTCTTTATGTAGTAAGTCAAACGGAAAACTACTCTGCTAGAATCTTTATTCTTTCTTTTTTCAAAATAATAAAAGGAACTATGTGTTTATGAATAATATTATTTCACAGTTGTAGATTGTGATTTTTCTATTCAAAACAAATATTAATTCTGATAAGTCTTGCGAATTGAACGCTATATTCGTTTCCTAAGCTATTCTGTAACCCCCAAGTTAGAACTATACAGAGACCTGAACACAAGGAAGAAGGCGCAAAGTATGCGAGAAAATACTTTACTCCAAGGTTCGTTTTTGTACAGGAAACACGGGTACTTATAGATGTTAACATTTATTAAATAAACATCATATTTTAGCCAATCCGCTAAAAGACATATTATGCTACTGACCAATAATAGCACACCACGTTGACATTCTAGAAAGCTTCATCATGCTCTGATTGGCTAGGACTCTTCGGCTCTTCTAGAGCCTCTGGAGGCTCCGTTGCAGCCTACTTAACAAATTCACTCTAAGCTTTATCCACAAATATCATAATAAATTTTAGTAGGGTATCTACACTTTATAAATTATATCTTTTGGTTATTACATTATATTTTTCATCTTAAAATTGATTCAGTCATTGCATATACATATATGTGATTATTCTTATGTTCCTTTTTAGTGAAGATGATAAGTAACCAAATTTATCTCAGTTGAACATTATCAATTATTAATAATATCAAGTACAATGAATAGTATATTCTTTTCTCTCCTATTCTTTTGACAACTATTAAAATAAGCAAAAAATATAACTACCGATGAATTATACATCACTTTTGAGTGATTCATTACTATTATTATTATTATCAACATCATCATCATGAATATTATCTAATATGATAATGAATCTGAATCGATGTATTCAGTTCTTTGTTTTTTTCTTCTAATCATTATCGTAATTTGATAGTGTATATTCATGTATACATGTAATTTTTTTTTCTCTTCAATCATTCACTATTATGAATTCATATTAAAAGAACAATAAAGGTAAACAAAAAAGAAAAGAAAATATGAATTTCATAGATTTATGTCTTTCATAATGTATATTGTAAAAAAAAAGAAGATATTTCGTTTTATTCCTTATTTTATTCTCGTCTTCATTTTTATTTTTGTTGTTTTTTCTCTCTTCTAATTTCTACTACACATTGTATCACTTAATGTAAAGATTTAAAGTAAAGTAACCGAATGAAATGAATTAATTTTATATAGTTTTATTGTTTACTAATAGTAATAAGGATAATAATGTTGTTTTTTTTGTATTTTCATTTGTTTGTCTACTCGTTCAGTCTCTTTTTTTTGTTTTTCTTTTTTTTTCTCTCTCTATTTCATATGATTAATTGAATGAAAAACATACTATTTTGTTTTGTCATAACATGATTGAAGATTTTTCAATTCAGTTATCAGATTGAAATAATAATCTTAGAAAAAAGTAATTTATTTTGATTATTAAAATGATTCGTTATTAGTTGAGCAAAAATAGACTAATTAACATCATGTATTACTGAAGAACAATATTAGTAACTATGCCATTATTATTATTAATATTATTATTATTATTAATAGTCGATTATTTGCATGTTACTTATTTTTGAAAATTTCTTTCAGTTGATGAATTTTTTCTTATTTTTTGTCTACATTTTATTTATTCTTTTATTCTACCTTTTGAAATTTAATTCTTATTTGTATATTCCATTTTGTTTTGTGAATTCAAGGATGTTGCTTATTATTATTATTACCGACTAATAATTTAATGAATATGATCTGTTTGAATAACAATGTGTAATTGGTAAAAAGAAGGGGTGAGGGTTGTGAGGGGGGGATGAGATGGGATGGATATACTTGTTTATCATTACTTATTTATTTATTATGTTTTAGGTGTAATACATTGGTTGATTTTATTTGTTTTTATTCTGTGTGTTGTGTAAATGATAAATAGAATGTATAAAAATATATATGAAATGATGTTTTTATTATTGAATGAGTTGTTTTATGGAGAATAGCTTAATTTGAAGATATATGTATCATCACTAAGGTTTAATTTGATAATTTCGAATAAATTGAGCATTCGGTAGATTGTTATCAATAAATAATATATTTGTAATATCCCAATGAGTAGAAAATTAGATTTGCTGACGTTTCGTGACTTAGTGTGAGTCACTTCTTCAGAGAATACATAACCAAATTAAAGTTAATGCACGTTTAAATAGTACAACGGAACAATTTAAACTATTTAAACTTGGATTAATTTTAATTTAGTTATTTATTCTCTGAAGAAGTGACTTACACTAAGTCACGAAACGTCAGAAAATCTAATTCTCTACTGATTGGGATATTACTTACTTACTTACTTACGCCTGTTACTCCCAATGGAGCATAGGCCGCTGACCAGCATTCTCCAACCCACTCTGTCCTGGGCCTTCTTTTCTAGTTCCATCCAATTCTTGTTCAGTTTTCTCATGTCTATCTCCATTTCTCGGCGTAATGTGTTCTTTGGTCTTCCTCTTTTCCGTTGACCTTCAGGATTCCATGTGAGGGCTTGTCTTGTGACGCAGTTCGGTGCTTTCCTCAATGTGTGTCCTATCCACTTCCAGCGCTTCTTCCTGATTTCTTCCTCCACTGGGATCTGGTTTGTTCTCTCCCACAGTACGTTGTTGCTAATAGTGTCCGGCCAATGGATCCGAAGTATTTTGCGTAGACAATTGTTGATAAACACCTGTATTTTCTGGATGATGGCTTTTGTAGTTCTCCAGGTTTCTGCCCCATACAGTAGAACTGTCTTGACATTTGTATTGAAAATCCTGACCTTGATGTTGGTTGACAGTTGCTTTGAGTTCCAGATGTTCTTCAGTTGTAAATATGCTGCTCTTGCTTTGCCGATCCGCGCCCTCACATCTGCATCAGATCCACCCTGTTCATCAATGATGCTGCCCAAATACGTAAAGGTTTTTACATCTTCCAAATCTTCTCCGTCAATTGTGATTGGATTGGTGCATTCTGTGTTGTATCGGAGAATCCTGCTTTTCCCTTTGTGTATATTGAGACCTACTGCTGCTGAGGCTGCTGCCACACTGTTTGTCTTCTCCTGCATCTGTTGTTGCGTTTGGGATAGAAGGGCCAGATCGTCTGCGAAGTCTAGATCATCCAACTCCATCTTAGATGTCCATTGTATCCCGCGCTTTCCTTCAGACGTTGACGTCTTCATGATCCAGTCGATCACCAGGAGAAAGAGAAAGGGTGAGAGTAAGCAACCTTGCCTGACACCGGTCTTCACTTGGGATATTACAAATATATTATTTATTCATAATTTGAAGATAGTTCTTGTCAAACATGAATTATATAAATAATCTTTGTAAATTAAGAATTATTGAATAGCTGTTTTATTCTAATCTGAAACTACTGAGGAGTGCTAATTTCTTAACTTTATTGTAGATCTATTTTGAAACTTCTATATCTAGTAATTGGCTTAGTATCTCATTTAACTTTAGTCAGTTTGTCATGTTGTTCAACAATGACGCATTGAAATAAGTGAACAACTAATCAATCTATGATTTGTTTGTGAACCATTAGATTTTAATTTCTAATGGGGTGTTGTGAGAGCTTAAGGTCCTTGACATAGTCTAACATGAGGTCCAAGGCCCTCAATGCTAAAACGTCTTCAACAAAGAAAAAAATACACCCTCAAGATTATATTATTTTTTCCTTAATTTCGCTATTCATGCATAGGTTGCTAATTGCTAATATTTGCACCTTGCTAGGCACGATTATTTTGAAAATAATATGTATGTGATCTTATAACTAAATAAATTTTGGTCCCTCCCTAAATATGCATCTACTAAGTTATTTTCACACATTAATCAGTGTTAACATATATCTACTACATGAGAACTCTACAATTGATTGATCGCTGAGTACTGACCAGTGTTATATATGCCATGTCCTTCTTATTACAACTTACTACTCAGTTATCAATCGATTTTAAATGCATATCAGTCCCACAGGAGGTCAGTTGCGGCTCAGATAGATCATTAATAACGCCTCTAACTGTGAAGTAGGTTGACACGGGACCAAATCCTTCAGGGAGCATCCGTTCACTCAGAATTACAGGTATACTATGCTGACGAGTATCAAATAGCGCGCAACCTAGATCACACGGGATTTCCTGTCGGCTACTTCCAACCATCACTTTACATGAATACATCTTTGCAAGCTATTTATAATACGAAATTATCTGATACGGTGATTACATCAAACAGTCAGTTGTGAACTAACTCGACAATGGAATAAGTATAGTTCGCAAAATTTATGTCAGTACTGTTTGAACGAAATAAAACAAAAGTAAATAGTATAAGTGATCGCATTAACACAGCTAAAAACAAAAATAAGAAATACATATCTAAAATGAAACTAGTGAAGTCAATGAATATAAAGTTTGAATAAACGATTGGGTTAATATTTTAATAAAAATAAAATATAGAAGTATCTGCTTCACTGACACCTTTGATGAGCAACGATTCCAACCATATATCTCATGAACCTTAGCTACATTGTGTGAATCTCCTGGATTGATTCAAATAATTGATTAAATACTTTAAAGCTCGATCTAATCATTCCTCGTTTGTATTCAATTTACTCCTATACTGGCTAACATATGACATTAAAATAAGTGGTAACTGATCATTTAAAGCACATCGTAATCTCTTTATCCAATGAGTGTTCATTTGGTTGCAAACTGATTTACTAATTTTGCATTCGTGCTTAAACTCAAAATCATCCGTCAGTTCGACCACATGTATAACTGAACATCATCAACCTGGATACCACTGCTAGCCGCCATCCGTTTTTGTCCTTTACACTGTTCATAAAAAGAGTACGGACCAAATGTCTCATAATATGCTTTAACTTCACCATAAGATTATTCTCAAAGCCTCGTTGCTGGCGGTTTGAAGCGATAAGAGGGAGGAAGATATTTTCTTATCAACACCGACATTTCTTCTAACATCAACCCATTATGGCTTGTGGAAAAATCTGAAGAGAGCTGAAACAATCAATTTACCTGACTATTTTATTTCCTACAATCAAACTGAATATTAAAACTGACAAATTCTGACCAAATAATATTCAATTTCAAAGACTGGTGTACTAATCAGTTACTTTCGTGGTGAATAAATGAATGAAATAAATGAATAGTATCTTTACTAATAACTAAAATGTTATCAATTAAATAAAAAACACAGCTAATTCCATACTGTCAATGTCGTTGATCATTAATGGCTTTTAAACCTGTGTTATATTCAATTAGTAATTAAGAAATCGTAGACAACCTATATCTGATGACTGATACCTCATTATAAGTATTACAGTTGTTTCGAAATGAGGTACATTTATTTGAACAGTTTCTTCAAAAAACCTGTTTACATATGATAATGTTATAATTTTCTCATATAGTAACGATATATCTAAAAAGTGAACCATGCATCGTTGAAACTAGTCAGTTATGAATTACTTGTCACAGAAAACTTACAAGTTTTTGACTTATGATTTATGAAATAATGATTTACGTGAAAAGTACAAACAGTGAATTAATTTATGTGATTATATGGTACTATTTACTATTAAAAAGTAGTGTACAATTTATCTA